CACACAGTTCACATTAGTGTGTCTCCCAGTGTGTCAGCACTCAGTTTACATTACTGTGTCTCCCAGTGTGTCAGTACTCAGTTCACATTAGTGTGTCTCCCAGTGTGTCAGCAATCGGTTCACATTAGTGTGTCTCCCAGTTTGTCAGCACTCAGTTTACATTAGTGTGGCTCCCAGTGTGTCAGCAATCGGATCATTAGTGTTTGTCCTGGTTTGTCAGCAATCAGTTCACATCAGTGTGTCTCCTGGTATGTCAGAACTCAGTTCACTTTAGTATGTCTCTTAGTCAGCACACAGTTCACATTAGTGTGTCACCCAGTGTGTCAGCACTCAGTTCACATTAGTGTGGCTCTCAGTGTGTCAGCAATCGGATCATTAGTGTATGTCCTGGTTTGTCAGCAATCAGTTCACATCAGTGTGTCTCCTGGTGTGTCAGAACTCAGTACACTTTAGTATGTCTCTTAGCTAGTCAGCACACAGTTCACATTAGTGTGTCACCCAGTGTGTCAGCACTTAGTTCACATTAGTGTGTCTTCTGGTGTGTCAGCACTCAATTCACTTTAGTGTGTCGCCTGGTGTATCAGAACTCAGTACACATTAGTGTGTCACCCAGTGTGTCAGAAATCGGTTCACATTAGTGTGTCTCTTGGTGTGTCAGTTCTCAGTATACTTTGGTGTATCACTTGGTGTTTCAGATCTCAGTACACTTTAGTTTGTCTCCCGTTTTGTCATAGTCAGTTCACTGTAGTTTGTGTAACAATGTGAAAATACTCGTTTCTTAGTACACTGTCTATCAATACTCAGATAACATTAGTGTGTCACTCAGTGAGTCAGTAATTATTTCATAGTACTGTGTGTTGGTTCATAATAGTGTGTCTACTAATGAGTTAGTCCTCAGTTCACAGTAGTGTGTCTCAAAGTGTGTCCACACAGAGATCCTAGTTATGTGTCTCCTATCATTTCAGAACACACTTCACAGTAGTGTGTCTCCCAGTTTGTCAGTACTAAGCTCAAGGTTGTGTGTCTCCCAGTGATTTGTCAGCACTCTTTTCAGTATCATAAGCCTCAGCACCTGTTGGTCTTCTTCAATAAAACTTATGCTACTGTGTGTTTTTTTCTCCCAGTTCCACTTAACTGCAATTTCTCAGAAAGCTTGAGTGTTACCTAGAAAATCAGATCAATTTACAAATAAATGATGGAATTCACTCTACCTTTGACACTGTGTGCACTCGAGATGTTTATTTCTTTTATCAATATCTTTACAGCAAGTCTAAATATACATTTCCTTCAATATAAAGTAGAATATTAAGTGCCCATTCTCTGCATCCCTCTGCCTCCTCTTATCTTCACTCTCTCATTTCGACTAGTGGCCCCCTCACCCTCTCCTGCACACTGACTCCTCATGAAACTCCTTGCTGTGTCAGCAAATCCCTCAGCTCACATAGAATAATAACTTAATTGAAAGGATCTCATTGACATCTCTGTATTAATAATTGAATTATGTGATAATATACTTGTAATGTTGAATATACCACACCATACAGTATATATTTGCCCTTTTTCATATTTTGCAGTGTTTTGAACATGAATCTACATCTACGATGAAGGTAGATAAAATCATCAAAGTATTGTCGCTTTTATCATGAGAAGGAGAAGTTACCTCCCCTGTCTTTCAAGGTCAAGGCTGCCTGCTGCCTTCAGTGTGGCGATTCCCTCTTCCTGTCATTGTACTGGTCAAATGCGGTGCTTTCTCAGATGTAAATTTATTATTCCTTACCACATTTATCAACAAAACCCAAAAGAAATGAAACAATTCCAAATTCTGCCTTTGACATAGTGCATTTTATTTTCACCTCTAGAGTACAGCAAACAATAAAAATGTCTTAGAAAAAGCAACAATTAACAGATAAACACTAGTGATTAAACTAACACTCTGTACAAGCTTGCTGAGCTATTTTGCTGAGGGACAGGAGCTGCAGACATACAGGGGCTGAGTAGAGGGTTCTCTACCCCTCTTCTCCTCAAGCTCCACAGGGGGGGCCCGAGCTCCAGTCAGGCGAAGGATGGACAGGGCCGTCTGGTGCGTCACGCCGCGGCGCCTGCGCACTGACTCCTGCGGACACTGTAGGAGGCCGGCGAGTTGTCGTGGGTCACCGTGCACACGTACTCCTCCTTGGCCTCCCACTCGGCCTTGCTTAGCTTCAGGGAGCTGCTGCGGCTGAACTTCCCGTCCCTCCCCTCCTCGGCGCTGGTCAGGACCCCGCTGGTCACTTTGGAGCCGTCCACCGTCCACTCCATGCTGGCCCCCTCAGGGAAGTAGCCGCTGAGCAGGCAGAGCAGCGTGGCCGAGCCGGCGGACAGCTCATTGGGGGACGGGGGGAACAGCGACACAGTGGGCTTCACGCTGGCGCCGGCTGGGAGACGGAGAGACAGAGCAGGGCAGAGAGTAAGGACTGGCGCCCAGTAGGAGACTAAATCTCGCTAACTTCGCACCAACACGTGTCATACTTTGTAGAAGTACATTCACCGTTACCATAGTACCATAGTTAGACATTAAGGAAAAACAGGTAAACGTTCTTTCCTGACTGAAACGTAAAGAAAATAATTACTACATTGCGACTGTGGAGTTTTGGTCCCAATAGATGACAAAGCAGTGTTGATGATCAATGTGTCCTGCAACTCACATTAGTTAGATGCACAGTTTAAAAAGAGGCCAAATCTAAGACTTGTCTCCTGCAGGAGAGTTCAAGTAGGGAAAAACGCTCATGCAAGGCGAAACATTAAGAAAACCTGGCTTCCACTGTCCTTTTCATGCAGAGCTGTTTCTGAAGACCCGCCAACAAAATCTGAGGATTAAGTTAACAAGGTATATGAAATAATAATTTCTATTGCGTTTTGAACATTACATGACCTGACCGTTTGTCCATATTTAAATTCTTGGACAATGTATTTTTTTCTGGATTTTCAGTGCACTACATTTGTGCCAAACCCCTCAGTATCTTCACTTAATTGTTTATAGATTAATTAATGACTGGAATGATGGGTATTCTAGTGATATAATTACCACTAGTATTACAGAAGAGATGAAATTATCATGTTTATATATTTTTGACTACTACTAATAAATAATATCTTATATTGTTCTAGCAAAATACCCACAACAGTAACATCAACCATTTAATTAAAACTGGGTCTTCTGTTTAGTTAGAGTCTGTTATGTTATCTACAGATCTATAGACCTGTATTACAAAATAACCTGGTGAAGATCAAAATAGGCCTGCATTTTATCAAAAAACTCTTAGATACAAAGCCAAAAAAGGATGTTTTTCTGTGGTAAGCAAATCCAATTAAAAGAAAAAAAGAAACAGCTGTCTTCACCAGTCTTTTCTGAAAGTGAAGTCTGCATGTAAAATCTAACTGACAACATCTATTCTTTAAGATTAGCAGCAGCAGTAAGCAGCCTTGGTATCAGCAGTTTGTTTCGTAACTTGCACAGGAAATTTTGTAAGAGAGGTGCCCGATAGAAGTATGACTTACTTGTAGTGAACTGGCACAAAACAGGAAAACAATAAGTCAGATTTCAGTCACTGACACTGGGAGCAGAAACATTTTTCCCTGCCCGCACATCAACATTGGTACAGTAACAGTAAATGATCAATAAAACTTAAACAAAAGAATCTGGGCTGAAGCAAGATTTTAATACTGATAAAGTAACAGTGCAAACTGGTACCAAAAGAAATGAAACACTCCATACTGCTATAAAATAAATTTCCCCAAAAACTTCAAGCCTACTGATCTGAATGAGAGGAGAAGAGTCACTTTTTTTTTCACCACCACCTTGGTGCCTTGCCCGAAATCGTGATTTACTGCCATAGTGACACTGTACAAAAACCTACTGCTTCTCCAGAGAGAGAAAACACAGCTATGAGGTGTACTGTACCTCCTACTCCATGATACATTGGTTTACTATACTTTATTACTTCATTTAAGTTAATTGGGATCTAATTGTGTGTTGCTGTTCAAATGAATTGGAATAGCTCTTTCAAGAATGAAGGTTCTATGTTCCAGTCTTTCCTCTTGTATTGCTCTAATTCAGTGTCAAAACACCCACAAACACTACATTCAGATTTACAAAGAGGTTTAAGGTGTGTGTGAAACCCTTCTTCCCTGGCAAGGAATCTGCATTACATTCAATACATCCAGGAGATTAGATATTACCAAATACAGTAAAGGACATTTTAGGATCATTAGAGTTGAAAATTCCACGGAACCTGTTTGAAGCAATTTCAGTTCTATCATGATTTGCCTCCTAAACCATAACATATTGTACAACTAAACATTTAGGAATAACCAAGGTCAGGAGGCACCAAGGACACTGGATCACAGTAAAACAACTTATAAAAGGCAAACAAGACTGCTGAGTTGAGTGAAAGAAGAGAAGTCACTTACTTTTAACAACCACCTTGGTGCCTTGCCCAAAAGTGTACCACAGTGTTTTACTGCCATAGAGACTCTGTACAAAAACCTGCTGCTTCTCCAGAGAGAGAAAACACAGCCTTTGGCCAATAATGTACTTTTCTTTAACCACTGCAAATATATCTTACATGTTATTTCTTCACATTACAATTTTAAAGTACTGGTTATGTGCTGCTTCAGAGAAATTTTCAAAACTTTAGGCTCAACAATTAAATGATCTCCTCATTTTATAAAAGGAATAATGATTTATGTATTATAGTGACAATGAATAGAAGAACAAGCTTTGTTTTAATGAACACGATTTTGAAAAGTAGTGCTGGAATTTATTTGGAGTTTAAAAACTGGTGGAGAAAACTTTGAAATGGCATTGAATTCAAATGTAATTAAACAAGGCAGACTGAACTAGAACTTAAAACTGAACTGCCTGAACTTGAATGTGAATTATGAAAGAGAGATTTAAGGGTAAATCTCTAAATCATGGTTGTGACAGACAGTGAAATCTGCTTCTTTCATAAAGGTATACACTATATTCCTGATGCCCTGCTTCGGTCTTGGGAAAGTCCGTTTTCTGAATCTGGAGTGTGAACACTAACAGGATTGATCAGAAGGTACTGACATTCACACAGGTTATTTTCTTTGTTGGACAATACACTATGCGTGTCTGAGTGTTCCCTCTATCCGATTCCCTCTTCTTTCTGCACTGTGTATGTTTTGTTTATATTCTTCAGTTAATTATCCTTGATTATGGGGATTTTGTCTCGGGAATATATACTGTATATACTGTATAAAGCAGAAAAACAGACAATGCAAGTAGGGCTTCGTATTCACTCTACAATTCTTGAACACATTGAACTCATATCTGACAACAGATTGTTCTTTGCTCACATGTGACTTACTCACACTTAACTTACTCACCTTTGTGTTTTCCCTCAAGATGGTTGTAAAATGAATTCCAAGATAGGTCTGCCATATAATAAACATACTGTAATAATTCTCCAGATTTTAAAAAAAAACAACAATCCAGAGGCAAGCAATGTCCTCAAATATATTAAAGCTGATTTCAGAGTTGTGCCAAGAGCTGGTAAAAAAACCCATGTCTCTTGAAAGGTAAGTTATCCCCACAACCTATCATGAATGATCTGTGAAGAGTGGAGTTTCGGGATCATTGAGTAAAATGCCTGTAGTATCCTTTAAGATTTTAAGTTTCCTTAAAAATCCTTAAGCACACAAATAATTCATGATTTATGGAGTAAGTCTGGCATTGACATTTCTGCTGTTCCAATAGGAACAAATGGACATCCAACATTTCCAACCCCAAATCTGCATACTGTCTAGCACCATTATGAAAAGGACAGAAGATATTGGCCCAAGACACTTTTTGGTTGAACCAGGTGCCGTGTTAAGCAAGTTCTTAAAGATAATGTCTCTCCTATTCGTCTGGTGATATCTTTCCAATTCCCACAAGACAATGTGTCAGGAATTTACCTTTAATTCCTCATCCAATATAGACAAGCACGTTAGATTCATGAGAGACTTCTTCTTAAGTCACTAAGACAAAATATACAGCATACCTCTCCTCAGGTGATGAGTCACTGTAATACTAAAGGAGATTTGTGTTACACAAGAAATTCCTGGTTTGATTATAGATATGATCCAATAAGACTGGTTTGAAAAATTTCTCCTACATCTCTTGGTATGACAGTCTCTTGAAAGAAACATTTCTGTCACATCTTGCTCTGGCTGCTAATCCCTGCTAGACATGCACTTAGTTTCCATCCGTACTCTTTTTCTAACACTCTCACAACTCCACAACATTCCCTTCATGGAGTAATACAATAAAACTGACTAACTCTAAAAGTGTAAGAACATTGAAGAACGCAAGCAGCCCCTGCAAAGGTGAAGAACGCAAATTGTCCAAGAAGATTCTGCCAACAATTCCCACAGGTTTTGTCTGTATTCCCAGTCAGTCTTGCAGTCCTGCAGCCACCCTGAATGGTGCCCTTTGCCAGTGTGCTCAAAGGCACAGACATTGTGTATTTTCATTAGAAGCTCACTGGTGCTTTGCACACACAGGTGTTAACATGGGTTGATGACTATAACTACATTTTAAATAACAATAACAACATGTAATCAGTGACTGGAAACAGTACAAAGCCTTCTAATTAACCGCACTGTGGCCTGGTCAGTTAGAAGATAGCAGATGTACAGCCTTTATGCGGTGACCTTTAGATAACATTGTAGTTTTTGGACAAAGATTGCTTGTAAAAGGCTTGACATTTCATTTTGTATGTGGGCATTTACAGATTATGATCATGGTTGATCTTCACTCTTCAGTTTCTAGTAGTTCACAAATCCAAAAATCCCATCCAACGAATTCAGCATTAACAAGGAGCTAGGGAATAGATTCTGCACTCCCACACTCACCAGAAGCAAGTTATTTGCTTCACTAGGTTCTCAGCTGAAAGAATAATAGGTACAAGGCGCAAATTGGCAAGGATGAAGAACACACAAAATGTACAGTATAGTATATGAATCATGCATATAAGCTCCTGCAGACAGGCTATCCCTAAACTGTAAAACTGTTCCTTATATTGTATATTAAACCAGATATTTCCATTTTACTAAACCTAAAAAATATGTTGCATGACTATCCTTTCACTGTAATTCTACCAAGAAAGGTGGGTTGTATTATTTAGGGCAGCTGTGAATAGTGTGAAGCATTTTCATTCAGGAGCTTGTACAGATCTCAAACAAAACCAACATAAAACACGAAATAGCAGAGGCTCAGCATCATTGGTTAACTAGAGCACATCATGAGCTGGGTTTAACCTGTGGTCATTTCTGCAAAAAAACGATATTGTAAAGCCCTAGGAGATTTCTTTTTTAAATCATTTTAAAATCTGTATTTGGTAAAGCCTTCAATAAATAAATGGTACATTACTGGTCTGTTAACCTAAAAGATTTGCACTAACTGGTAGCACCCTGTGCAGAAACATATTTTTCTAATGGATTTTTAATCAGATGTTCTGAGAATTAGTATTCACAATGGAATGAACTGGCTGCGAGAATGTTTTAGCCCACTTGATCATAGGGCACATACAGCACACCACTGTCTTTCTTCCCCATCTTATATTGCATCATCTGCACTGCGTGGTCGTCCTACTTAACAACATGTTACAGAACATGGAAGGCTGGTGATCCTGGCATGATAAACAGATCATTTGCATTTAAGTCTAACTACTGGCATTAATAACAGGAGAAACTATTATTGACTAACAACATATGAATAATGATCCAAACACCAATGTTCATGATTCAGAAATTCTTTATTACTATTATTGTTGGGTCACTAACAGCACTTACACCAGTTACAGGCCATTTGCACACACAGACGTGAAGATGTGAAGTCAAAGAGGTTTCTAACAAAAACAGCACATTGGCGCACAGGTTGGCACAGGTCGTTGGGGCGATGGCCTCCCATTAAATCACAGCACAGGAAAGCTAGAGTAAAACTTCAGTATCTGCAGCTCTAAGCTAGGAATGAAGCAGGCGCTGCCCCCAGGCCAGGCTATTCTGGACACTCGGATTTCTTCAGGGCCTTTGTCACGGGAGCCTGGGAGCTGTGGGTGGCCTCACAGACCACAGTGCCCACTGAGGACCACTCAGCTTCAGATAGTGTCAGGGTGCTGCTCCAGCTGTACAGGCCAGTGCTGTCCAGGAGGTAGGGGGTCTTGGTGACCCCGTTGGTCCTGGAGTGGCCGTCCACTGTCCACTGCAGGCTCCAGTCAGACGGAAAGCCCTGGTTGGCCAGACACAACAGCGTGGCCGACTTCTTCTCTGACAGCTCCCTGCTGGAGGGGGGCAGGACCGTCAGCGAGGGCTGAGTGTTACCTGGGAGAAAAGCAACATGGAGTGAGGCTGCAGAGAAGAGACACCCCAGGTCACAAAGACACACCAGACACTCAGGGACTCAGAAAAAAAGAAATAATTACTGATGAAATAAAATAAATTAATGAAGAAATAAAAATATGTTTCATACTTAAATCAAGTCAAGTTCGACTAGAGGTAGAATTATACAAAACACTTGTCAGACCTCATCTCTAAAATTGTGTTCTGATCGGAAGAGACTAAACCAATTTCATCTTTATCGTTCAGATCATTTAATATCTTCAATCTCAACTGGAGGGTATGATGGGTTTAATGGATGTATTCACAGAGGTCCTCCCATGTGGTTGAAGAAGAATCAATCAGATCATTCAAGTTAGGCCAGAAGAAAAAAGTTAGGCTAAAAGAAAACAAAATCAGTCAGCTACTAGCGACCAAGCAACAAGGTGGACAATGTCCTCCTCAGGCTAAAGAACTCACTTATAATGCTGTCTGACCTATCAGCCCAAATCCATTTTTACTGTACTATATTCAAGAACGGGGTTTTTCTAGGTTAAATCGCTACAGTATCTAACAAATTATTACTGTAAATATAAAGAGTAATTTAGATTCTAGAAAAAAAACTTTACTTTGGAGTGTTAATGGAGAGATACTGGACCCCCAGCTACTTTTGCCGAAACAGAACTTAGCTTCGCCTTCTCGATTAACACATTCATGATGGTTTAAACATTTCGCTTTTATCTGTTCTCTGCCAGACGAGGCGTGAAAACGTGTTGCGCATTCTACCTGTCATGTAAAAATGGTTTACTAGAAACTATTAAGCAAAACAATTATATTGTTGTGACCTCATGGAAAGTGAAATAACATTAACGAAAATACACATACTCTTGTAATACTTTTCACTAATACCTTCTTCACTACTTCCTGGTGCAAATATAATATACACACTACGCTTTAAGATTACTGCAGCCCCGATGACGGATTCGTTAAATAGCAAAGCCTCGTAAGTTTAGTAAAGAGTCGAGAAATCTCCACGGCCGAAACGTTGTGTTCTCTTTCTTCTTTTTTTCAGCATGGAATAAACCTATTACTTCTTCAGGTGACACCTGAAGAAGGCTCCACGGCCGAAACGTTGTGTTCTCTTTCTTCTTTTTTTCAGCATGGAATAAACCTATTACTTGTTCCTTTAATTCTTCAAATAATTATTTCCCTTTTTTAAATCTTTTTTCAAGAGGCTGTGGCAATGTGGTACAAGCTTCCCAGCCATGCTGTCTAAGCCAATACCCTGCTTTCTTTCAAGAATCAGCTGGATGAAATCCACCATCAGTGCTAGGAAAGTACTTGAAAGGTTCAGAAGATCACTGTGCCACTGTGCCAACCTGTGTCATCAGCTGCTATCAGGTTCAGAAATCCTCTTTTGTGTTTTATTGAAATTTGTTTTTCATATATAAGGTGAGGTATAGAATGTAAGTTGACCCATGTGACCCTGGTTTCCTAGTAGGAATAAGCAACCACAAGCCTATGGGATGCCTCACTTATAGATAGGTAGTATTGAGTATATACAGTATACCAGTGTCACAGATAGACAAGGGAAAATGCCATAGAATGTCTCTCGTCTCCCCTGCATAAGAATATTGGTGAAGAGGTAACCTGAAGGGCCTTATGGCTACAGTTCCCTCTCAAGTAAAATTAACAAAAAATGCCACGAGATGTGTGGCGAATCAGAACCTGAGTGCCTAGGCACCAGGTATGGAATGCTATACTGTCTCTTTGACAGATGCCCAGAATGTAACTTGAGAGACCAGCTACATCAAAGCACAGTTGCCCAGCAGATTCAGGACAGATGGCAGACAAGGAGGCAGTCTGAAATAGGGCACATAACATGGCTATTACTACTGTGGACTAAACTACCATCCCGTCTTGTAGCCGGTGAGAACCTCTTCTAAAATTCAATGGGAAAAGTATTGGTCTTTTCACCTCACTGCGCCACAACACACAGCTTCCAGTGCACCTCTACATACCCGACCACCACTGCATCACACCGCTGCCAGTGCACCTCACCGTGCCAGGCCACCACTGCGTCACATAGCTGCAAGCGCACCTCACCGTGCCAGGCCACCACTGCATCATACAGCTGCCAAGGCAACTCACCGTGCCAGGCCACCACTGCATCATACAGCTGCCAGGGCACCTCACCGTGTCAGGCCACCACT